TAAAAAACTGTGTTCGTGAACCACTCAAAAAGTGCCACAAAAGCAAGCATCAAAAACGGTATACACTTCTAATTAAAGTAAGGAAACCCTTACCAAAACTCAATATTAATCTCGCTTTATTGCCATCCAGATATACTGCGATACTAATATAGCTGTCAGGGAACGAGAAGATTGCCGCAGCGCACTAATCTGCACATGCGTAGGATCCTGACAAGACATACAGGCAGGCGGGCACTAGGATCCAGGTGCGCCTGTCACCAATGACGGCGCCGGACAGGCACTAGGACCCAGGCGCGCCTGTCGGCGCCGGGAGGGCTATTTAAACCAGCTCTTGCAATGCTCACATTGTCGCATGGTCTTGTTCCTGTTGTTCCTGCTCGTTCTGTTCCTGAGATTGCCTTGTTGCCGACCTAGCCTGACCCTGATTGCTGTTGACCGTCTCCTGCCCTGACCCCTGGCTCGTCTTGACTTCTCTTCTGCCTGCTCATGATTATCTGACCTCCTGCTGCTTAACCTGGCCTGTGACCCAACTACTCTCTGCCTACTGCTCTGTACCGTTTCGCCTCCACTGTTACCGACCCGGCCTGTCTGACTTCGCTATCCCTCCACGGTGTCATCCATCCATCCATCCTGCACGGATCTGCTCCACCCTTTACAGCAGGCTCTTATCCGCTACGTACCACTGGCATTGACCTCTACCACAGCTGGGTGCACCCGGGGGCCGCGACCGGGTCTCAGCCTGCTCCAAGTCCATCCCCACCATCAGGGGCTCTGGTGAATAAGCAGACTGAGGCTTAGACTCTGCGCCCTGGGGAATCCTGGCCTGTGGATCTCTAGAGTCACCGTCAGTCGGTACCTGACAGTAGCCCTCCTGGAGAGATCTACAAGGATACCACACTCCCTTGACGTCATCTGGGTTCATCAGCATAAACACTCCATGTACCTCCTCATACCTTGCTCCACCAAGATGCCAATATATGAAGAGTAAGATTGTATAATATCGCCAAAACACCATATAAAATACTTTATTAATGTGCTCACATTATCACAGCCTTTAAAATCGCCTTACAATCGATATTCCAAACCTCTCTGCTGTCCAGAGAACATCCAAGATGTTTGGTATGCTTCTTGCTGCTTACCAAAATGGCCGCTACTCCACTTCCGGTTCCCGTGTGCGTCTGATGTCACTTCCCTTGATGCATTTCGTCATCGGACTTATTCATTAAAAAAACGCACTGGGTTACATTCTAAATAACTACAATGAGCTGTGAGCCCCCCTGCCCCAAAGCACCCCCCCATGTTGAGGGCATATGGCCTGGGGTATGGTTCAGAAGTGGGAGGGGTGCGTTCATCCCCCCCTTACCTGGCCTGCCGGGGCACTGCATGCTCGGATAAGGGTCTGGTATGGATTTTTTGGGGGGGGGCACGCCATTTTTTTTTTAAATTTTGGCGTGGAAGTTCCCCTTAGAATCCATACCAGACCTGAAGGGCTTGGTATGGATGGGAGGGGGGACCCCACACCGTTTTTTAATAATTTTTTTTAATTGCCGGCAATTCTTTTACTTCAGCTGTCAGGTGCCAGTTTTTAAATGTGATTACCGCTTCTTTGTTTTCTTCACTATACAGTAGTTCAGAAATTCAGCTGTCACTTTCCCCTTCCAGCTAACAGAGAGAAAGTTTCTTTTAGTTTATTTCCCCAAGTTAAAAGAAACAATGTTTCCTTTCAGTTTCTTAAAAGATACAAAGTTTCCTGTAACTCCTAGGAAAGTGACAGCCAATATTGTGAGTTAAAGTGAAGAAAAAAAAAAAGACGGCAATTGTATTTAAAAATCAGCACTGACATATGTACACTTCGTATTGCGAAAAAAATTTGTAGAAAATTCGTAAACCGAAAATTTTTTATACCGAGGCATTATTTTCAATGGTCTTTCATTTGTAAACCGAAAATTAGGTTAACCGAGGCAGTCGTAAACTGAGGTATTACTATATATATATATACTGTATATAAATATATATATATATAAATATATATATATACACACACACAGGTGTACCTCGGTTTACGAATGCCTCGGTTAACGTAATTTTTGGTTTACAAATGAAAATCCATTGAAAATAATGCCTCGGTATACAAATTTTTTTCGCAATACGAGGTGTATGTCGGTGCCAATTTTTAAATTCAGTTGCCGAATTTTTTTTTTTTCTTCACTATAGCTCACTTAATTAGCTGTCATTTCCTGGAGTTAAAGGAAACTTTGTATCTTTTAAGAGACTAAAAGGAAACATTGTTTCACTTAACTTAGGGAAATCAACTAAAATTAAACTTTCTTCCTTTTAGCTGGGTGGAAAGTGACAGCTGAATCTCTGAGCTGTAGTGAAGAAAAAAAAAGCGGTAATTTCATTTAAAAAACCGGCACCATAATAAATAAAACAATGTCATGGGGTCCCCCCGCTATTCAACCAAGCCCTTCGGGTCTGGTATGGGTTTTGAGGGGAACCCCATGCCAAAATAAAAAAAAAATGGCATGGGGGCCCCTCCAAGATCCATACCAGACCCTTATCCGAGCACGCATTTCTTTTTTCGGGTTGGCCACAGTGGACATCGTGATTGACATTGGATCTACTGCGGGGGCATTCTTTTAGTTTTTTCTTTTAACACCTCGCCGTTGTGACTGAGCGTCATATGACGTCCTGTCAAAACAAGCTGCGCAGCGGTGCGATCTGTCACATATCACTACACCAGCCTATTGCCAGTGACATGTGACCGCTGTTACCAAACACAGCAGATCAATTGTATACAATGGATGGCTTCCTTTCATGCCATCCATTGTATACAATTAAATGAAAGCTCTATTTGTGTGAAAAAATTTCATGTGGGTATAGTGTTGCATGACTGCACAATAGTCATTCAAAGTGCGACAGCGCTTAAAGCTGAAAATTGGCCTGGGCAGGAAGGGGGTATAAGTGCCCGGTATTGAAGTGGTTAATAAAGGACTTGTCAAAGATTGTGTCCTGTCTTTTTTCACACTACACTTTTTGTTTTTTTGTGAATGAGTAGCGGGACCATGTACCCCATAACTCATTAACATAGGGGGGGCAGGATCTGGGGGCCCCCTTGTTTAAGGGGGCTTCCAGATTCCGACAAGTCCCCTGCCTGCAGACCCCACAACCACCAGCCAGGGTTGTGGGGAAGAGACCCTTGTCCCCATCAACATGTGGACAAGGTGCTTTGGAGGGGAGCCCCCCTGCCCCAAAGCACCCTCCCATGTTGAGGGCATGTGGCCGGTATGGTTCAGGAAGGGGGGGCGCTTGCTCGTCCCCCCCTTTCCTGACCTGCTGGGCTGCGTGCTCGGATAAGGGTCTGGTATGGATTTTGGGGGGGTCCCCCACACCATTTTTTTTTATTTCGACGTGGGAGTTCCCCTCAAAATCCAAACCAGACCCGAAGAGCTTGTAAGGATGGGAGGGGTACCCCACGCTATTTTTTAAAAATTTTTTTAATTGCTGGCAATTCTTTCTTTTACATTCAGCTGTCAGTGCGAAACCACGCTGACAGCTGAAACATTAACACATGGTTGTCGTTACTAAAAAACCGCATGACTTGATAAAATAACTCATGCGGTATTTTAGTAGCGTTTACTGTTTTTCTGACCTCTGGAACAGATTAATTGGTTTTCAGTGCATTCCTATGGGAAACGGCGTTGGTACTTGTCTGTTAATTCACCGGATTTTTTATTTATATATATATATATATATATATATATATATATATATATATTTTTTTATGTTTTATTTAAATATATCAAATATATATATTTATTATTATATATATATTTATTATGTATATATTTATTATTTTATATATATATATATATATATATATATATATATATTTATTTATTTCAGGTACTTATATAGCGCCATCAATTTACGCAGTGCTTTACATATATATTGTACATTCACGTCAGTCCCTAACCCTCAAGGGGCGTACAATCTAAGGTCCCTAACTTACATTCATATACTAGGGCCAATTTATACAGGAGACAACCTACAAGCATGTCTTTGGAGTGTGGGAGGAAACTGGAGTACCCGGAGGAAACCCATGCAGGCACAGGGAGAACATGCAAACTCCAGACAGGTGGTGTCGTGGCTGCGATTCGAACCAACGACCCTAGCACTGCCAGGCGGAAGTGCTAACCATTTAGCCACTGTTTATATATATATTTATATATAAATATTTATATATATATATATGAAATATATATATATATATATGAAATATATATATAAATATATATATATATATATATATATAATATATATATATATATAAATATATATAAATATATAAATAAATATATACATATAAATATATATATATAAATATATATATATATATATATATATATATATATATATATATAAATAAATATATATAAATAAATAAATATATATATATATATATATATATAAATATATATATATAAATAAATAAATATATTTTATATATATATAAATAATATATATATATATATATATTATATATATAATAAAATATATATATATATATAATATATATATATATATATATAAATATATATAAATATATATATATATATATATATATAAAAATAAATCCGGTGAATTAACAGACAAGTACCAAATTTTTCGCTGTATGAAAATTCCTGCAGAAGAAATAGATTCGTAAACCGAGGTATGCATTCATTTTATTATATATATATATATATATATATAAATAATCTCTTAGTAAATACAAGTGAAGTCATTGTCTCGCTGCTTGTAGCTTTCTGCCCCCACGGGCTCTCCGTAGCTGGCAGCAGGAAGTGCTTGTGTGACCCGGAAGTCCCTCTGTTGATGCCTCAGAGCGGGCGATGCGGCGGAGTGCTTTGAGTGGAAGAAGTGCGGGAAGCGTGCTGTCAGATGTCTTGGTAGTCTAGTCGGTCTTCTATTGTCGTGCAGCCGATCTGTCCGCCTTCACCATGACTAACAAAAGGAAAAGGCAGGAAGATTTCCAGAAAGTGAAGCTGAAGGTTGGGAAGAAGAAGCCCCGAGCAGACAATACGACTGACACCAACTGCAGGATCCGGTCCATTCATCTGAGCGAGCAGCTGAGGGAGCAGCACTCTCTCCCCACCAGCAGGCGGAAGCTCACCATTACGGTAGTAGTGCACGGCGCCTTCTATAGTCCTTTGTTAGGAGGGTGAATAATGAGCACGTGACATGAGTTTAAAGACCAACTCCAGGCAAGTAAGAGGATTGTCCCCTGTGGTGGGCCTGTCGTGCTTCAGGGGTTAATTGCTCATTGATGTCCAGGGGGGCTGATCCTCGCCTCCTCCTGACAGCTATACCATCCCTGCAGCTTCTGCTCCCCTGATCTAGGGTCCCGACCTCATGAAGACCAGTGCAGGGTCCATAGCAGTGCCCTGGATGTGAGGACGCTGAGGGATAGTCCACCAGCAAATCATGGGGGAGCAGAGAACGTTACTGCCGCTCTCCCCTACACAAAGCGAGCTCTTAAAGTAGAAATGAAGGCAAAACTTTGCATTTTGGATACATAAGGAAGGGTTAGGACCCCTGTCAGTTTTTTTTACTTTCGCTATACGTGTCCCATTGTTGAGATTTACTTTCACTTCCTATCCCATAGGCAAAATAGACAGTGGGAGGAAATCCCTTCGAAAAGTACAGGAATACCTCAGTTTACGAATGCCTCGGTAACGTCATTTTCAGTTTACCAGTGAAAATCCATTGAAAATAATACATCGGTTTTACGAATTGTTTTCACAATACGAAGTGTGTATGTCGGTGCTGATTTTGAAATGCAATTGCCGGCTTTTTTTTTTTTCTTCACTATAGCTCACAGCATTCGCTGTCATTTTACCCGAAGTTAACGGAAACTTTGTATCTTTTAAGAAACAGAAAGGAAACATTGTTTCTTTTAACTTGGGGTAATAAACTAAAAGAAACTTTCTGTTAGCTGGAGGGGAAAGTGACAGCTGAATTTCTGAACTACTGTATAGTGAAGAAAACAAAAGCGATAATTACATTTAAAAACTGGCACCTGACAGCTGATGTAAAAGAATTGCCGGTAATTAAAAAAATTATTTAAAAAACTGCATGGGGTCCCCCCCCCTCCCATCCATACCAAGCCCTTCGGGTCTGGTAAGGATTTTAAGGGGAACTCCCACGCCAAATTTTTTTTTTAAAAAATGGCATGGGGGTTCCCCCCCCAAAATCAATACCAGACCATTATCTGAGAATGCAGCCCGGCATGTCAGGAAAGGGGGGGGGGGGGACCACATGCCCTCCACGTGGGGGTGTGCTTTGGTGCAGGCCCCCCCCCCCCCAAAGCACTTTGTCCCCATGTTGATGGGAACAAGGGCCTCTTCCCCACAACTCTGCAGCCCAGCATGTCAGGAAAGAGGGGGGGGGACGAGTGTGAGCACCCTCCCCTTCTGAACCATACTAGACCACATGCCCTCCACATGGGGGTGTGCTTTGGTGCAGGCCCCCCCCCAAAGCACCTTGTCCTCATGTTGATGGGAACAAGGGCCTCTTCCCCACAACTCTGGCTGGTGGTTGTGGGGGGTCTGCAGGCAGGGGGTTATCGGAATCTAGAAGCCCCCTTTAACAAGGGGGCCCCCAGATCCCGGCCCCCCCCCCCCATGTGAATGAGAATGGGGAACCCCGTTGACGGCTGAAACATTAACACATGGTTGTCACTACTAAAATACCGCATGAATTAATAAAATAACTCATGCGACATTTTAGTAGCATTTACTGTTTTTATGACCTTCAGAACGGATTAATTGGTTTTCAGTGCTTTCCTATGGGAAACAGCGTTTCGGTTTACAAATTTTTCGATATACGAAATGTCCTGCAGAACGAGTTAAATTCGTAAACCGAGGTATTACTGTATGTTGGGGGTTTTTTTTCCACCCAAATCATACTTTCTTAGGTGGATGCAGGATCGGTCCCCCTGTTGGCTCTAAGGCTAGGTTCACATATGTGCGGATCCGCACGAAAATTCGTGCAGCTGCACCACCCACACAGAGGAATGGCACGCCGCCAACACTGGAAAACGCAACCGTACTGGGAACCGAGGTTCCCATGCGCGCTGCGTTTTCAGAAGTGCAGGGACTTCTTCCCTACAGGGCACGGGAGTCCATTCAAATGAGTGGGCTCTTGTGCCTGCGCCAAACACGGCCCGCGCACGGCCGCATATATGTGTGAACCAGGGGTTAGTGTGAGAAGTCAGCAATCACATGACTGAGTTCTCACCACTGCTGTCAGCAGAGAGCAGTGACTGTCAATCACCACTCTCTGCTCTCTCACCGCACTCCCTGGAGCGCTGGGCTATGGAGGGGGAGTGAGGGGCTGGCTCAGGCTCGCTGACAGGCTGGGCCAGGTGCCGCTTAAGACTGGAGTGGATCCCAACTTTAAAGTGGTGATCTTTCCCCAGCCTGGACTGGCTGAGTGACATCAGCCCACAGCAGACTTTAGCCCGTTGTCAGCTGAAAGTGGTACACAGGAGTGCAGAGCGAACTGCCCTCCTGTGATCAACAGTACAAGTACAGCTTTGGCTGTACTTCTCCTTGAAGGGAATCCCTAGTGGTCCCCCTATTCACCCAAACTAGTGTCCCCATTGGAAGATTTTCCCTCCATTACTTTTCTGGGGACAGCACAAAATTTGGAATTTTCTTTTATTTTCACTTTCAATGATAATGGTAAACAGGATAAATAGAGAGAGGGTGAATCTCCCTGACGGGTGCACAGAGAGCAAAGAAAAACTGACAAGTGTACTAATCCATCTCCAAAAGTTTTGCCTTTAGTTCCACTTTAACCCTTGCAGTGCTGCACGTTCCCACCACAAGGTATAGTTTTGTTCTTGCTGGAGTTGGGTTTTAACCACTTGCCCTTCTAAGGATTTACCCCCCTTCATGACCAGGCCATTTTTTGCTGTTCGACACTGCGCTATTTCAACTGTTAATTGCGCGGTCATTTAATGTTGTACCCAAACTAAATTTCTGGCCTTTTTTTTCACACAAATGGAGCTTTTTTTGGTGGTATTTGATCACCTCTGCGGCTTTTACTTTTTGCGCTATAAACACAAAAAGACAAAAATTTTGAAAAAAAAATATATTTTTTCACTTTTGGTTGTAAACGATATCCAATAAACACAAAGTTAGTCATAAATTTAGGCCAAAATGTATTCTGCTACATGTCTGGTAAAAAATAATCTCAATACGTGTATATTAAATGGCTTGTGTAAAAGTTATACCGTCTATAAACTATGGTGTGTATATATATATATATATATTGGAATTTACGCAGCTTTTTACTTTCTGACTGCCTATTACATTTCTTGAGGTGCCAGAATTCCAGGGTAGTACACCCCCCCCCTCCTCCCAAATGACCCCTTTTTGGAAATTAGAGACCCCCGGTATTTTGCAGAGAGGCATGTTGAGTCCATGGAACATTTTATTTTTTTTCCACAAATGTATTGAAAAGTAAATTTTTTTTCCACACAAAGTTGTCACTTTAACCATTTGCCTACCGGGCACTTATACCCCCTTCCTGCCCAGGCCAATTTTCAGCTTTCAGCGCTGTCGCACTTTCAGTGACAATTGCGCGGTCATGCAACACTGTACCCATATGGCATTGTTATCTTTTTTTTCTCATAAATAGAGCTTTCTTTTTGTGGTATTTACTCGCTGCTGGGTGTTTTTTTTTTTTTTTGCACTATAAACAAAAAAAGAGCACAAATTTTGAATAAAAAATTTTTTTCCTTTGTTTCTATTATAAAATGTTGCAAACAGGTAATTTTTCTCCATCACTGCTTTGCGTTAATAGGCGGCACTGATCAGGCGGCATTGATGAGCTGGCACTGATATGCAACAATGATGGGCACTTGTGGGTGGCACTAATGGGCACTTGTGGGCAGCGCTGCTGGGCACAGATGGGTGGCACTGGTGGGCACTGATCATCAGGGTACTGATGATCGGTGTCAATCCCTCCTCTGACAATTGCCGGTTACCGGCAGTACGTTCCTCACGCTGTGACAGTGAGAGGAAACTGCAGCCGATAACCGGCAACTGCATTTAGCGGTGATCTGCTGTGTCATTGGACATGGCTGATCACGTGGTAAAAGGCTGCTGTGATTGGTCTTTTACCACGTCACATGATCAGCTGAGTCCTTAAGACACAGCGATCACAGAAATCACCGGGTATGCACCCCCCGGGGGGGGCGCGCGGGGGGCAAGTTCTGGGAGGATGTCATATGACACCCTCCCAGAACTGGCTGGCCGCAGTGTAGCTGTCATTCGGCTATCTGCAGTCGGCAAGTGGTTAATGATATATTGCTCATGGATATATGGGGAATAACACCCCTAAACACATTCTTCTCCTGCGTACGGCAATACCACATGTGAGAGACTTTTTGGCAGCCTAGCTACATACAGGCCCCCAATGACCACCTCTAGGCTTTCAAAGAGCACATTTCCTCATATCACTTCCCCACTACCCATCACAGTTTCGGAGACTCTAAAATGCCAGGATAGTACAAACACCCCCCAAAAATGACCCCTTTTTGGAAAGTAGACACCCCAAGGAATTTGAGAAGAGGCATGGCGAGTATTTTACAGATATCAATTTTGCAGCAGGGTTTTGAAAAAGAAAAAAAAAATTTTGTTTTCTTTCTTCGTTTTCCAAAAACGTGGCAATAAATGAGATCTGCAAAATACTCACCGTGCCTCTTAGCAAATAGCTTGAAGTGTACTTTCCAAAAAAGAGGTTGCTGCTACTATCCTGGCATTTCAGAGCCATCATTAGAAACGTATGCCCCACATCACCCACTCCCAAGCCTTTTCTGACACTTTTTGTTCAGATGAACAAAGTTTTTTTTTTTTTTTTTTTCTAGAAAATTACTTTGAACGCCCAAACATTATTTTTTTTCTTTTAACCACCTCCCGTCCGGCCCATGCATATAAACAGCCGGACGGTGGCAGTGCAGGATCGGGTGGCCATTTATAAACGGCCTCCCCGCACCCTTCTTGTGCGCGCCCCCTGGGATCTGGTGCCCGCTGTGTCCTCCGGACACAGTGGAACACTGATCGTCGGGCGGGACCTCTCTACAAGGTCCCGATCATGTGATCGCTGATTG